CCCTGCCTGTGGGTTCGAACGGCTCTTTCGTATATATGAGTAATTATTTCAGAATTGGATATCATGGAAAATTTTATATCGAAGCTCCTGGTTGTAAAATCAAGGCTGAAGTTTGGACAATGAGCTTTCAAAAGTTCACATATTCATCATGCCACGCTGCCATAGGGCTGAACTTGATTTCCCAGTCCGATAATTCAAAGATGAAAGAATTCCAATCAGTGAAGCTCTTTGAATATAGCTAGAACAACGGTGACAAAGACGCTTCCATCTGTGTTTGCAGATGATCGTGGAATGGGGATGAACTACTGTCCATCTTCCTCTTCTTGCTGCATCGACACTAGCAAACGAAATTGGGATTTTGAGGATTTTGAGGATTTTGGGGTCTACAACCACCGCACCTCCATCAACTTGACTGACTATTGCATGTGTTGACTACTGTGGATCATAGAACATCAAGACAGGTGCTATATCTCAGATTGAATGGGTAAACTTTTGGCTAGAGATAACCAAAAGTTTACAAATCAGTCATATTGAGTATAAAAGGGATCACCATTTTTTAAGCTCAACGTCTTACGAGCTGTCATGCTCGTCAAAGTTGGTCTTTGACTGATTGTGATGTGTACACTTCACTCTTGCTTACCACCCATCACTTACATACATCTGGTCAGCCTTCTGACTACAGTGTTCGAAGCAATATTGATTTGTCGAAGTGATGAGGTTTTGTTTACAGATTGATACTTTTTCGTGGTCTCCATGACTGGCCCGATTGCCACTTCCAATGTTGCGAAAGCTTGTCATCGTCATGTATTGCATGGTTGGGACCTTTTTAATTATCTTGTTAAGAACAACGTACACTTCAAGTTCGAATCATATACGACAATTCGAAGGCTTGCCATTTGTAGTTCCATGGTCATCCTTTTGATCTTGAACCAATCACGCGTTTGTTAACTCTGACGTGTAGCTTGACGTAGACATCAAATTACCTTGTAGAACACTGAGCGTGATTACGTACTGAGTGATTTGAAAGCTTACTATTGCATATTTTGCATTACTCAGGGAGGATGCGCAAAGTCGACTTTGGAAAATCGTAGAATACATACCTGAGTTTAAGATTTACATATCAGCAAGATTCAAACCGCTTGGGTGTTAAAGCTTACTTTTGACACCTTTGCCTGACGAATAAACCAGCCGAGTCCCGGACTTTGTTCCCCTCATCAATCGCTCAATCCAAACTTCATAATCCCCTCTCCCTATCTTCCTTTCAAAATTCCACATACACATCAAACAGTCCTCACATCCTTCGCCTTTCTAAATTCCTTGTTCGAACTTCGAACTCCTAACTTTATCACCCTTTTTTCGTTTCTAAATCCCTAGTCCAATCATCTGTCTCAGTCCTTCATTTCAGATGGAACACTCAAAAGGCCTTACTCCAGACGAGGAATCCCGCCTCCCGGGTACTCTCATAGAAAAATCTGGATCCCCTCGACCGGTTCGTTCAAACAGTCTTCACATTTCTTTCCTTTCCAAATTCCTCGTTCGAACTTCGAATTTCGGAATTCATCACACTTTTTATGTTTCTAAACCCCTTGTCCGACCATTTCTCTCACTTTTCACTTAGAAACATTCGCAAGTCCGTACTCCCGATGAGGAATCTCTCATACCGGGTACTATTATAGAAATCAAATTTAAATTCCCTCGATCGATTCGTTGTGAGACCGAGCCGGACGAGGCTTTGATCGGGAAACAAAAGTACTCCAAGGTGTACGAGTTTGCCAATCCGTGTTCAAGATGCACCAACACTGGTCGTATCTGTGTGACTAGTGGCACGAAATCCGTCAAGTGCGAGTGGTGCAGGGTTTCGAAGATACCTTGTGACGTCAATGCAGTGGAAACTGTGCACTTCAAGTGGCTGCAAAACGGAAGCCTCTCCCCTGACTCGAAATTCGACACCAAGACCAAAGCATTGAGCACTGATCTCCCTGACGAAATCTCCCTGTTGGATCCAGAAGACAAAGCTAGGGTTGTTGACACTACACAAAATATAATATTTTCTGGGCAGAAAATTAAATTATTGATACACAAAAATATTGAGAGGCCAGGAGAAGGGCAAAAAATGAATAAAAATATGCATCTTGTTCCCTGCGTTGAGAACTTCACTCTGCATATTTTTCCGTATTTTTACAGTCCATATTGATAAGTGTACTAACAATAAACCTTCATAATCATCCAATTACAACCTGTAACAAGCACTGAAATTTGGCTCATTAGTGTTTAAAGAAACTTTTGATTTCTGAAAACACCTATAACTTTGTCAAATCTGCCTCAAAACACTCGATTTTAAGTGCATTAGAAAGCTGAACTCCACCTCTCGAACTATGTAGCTAGTATGACAATCATTCTATGGATCTGTATGTACAAATGTATAAAAAAGATGATATCTTTTTTAGCAAACCAGCATGCTGTGTGGTCCTATTATGAACTATTTGGAGGACAACTCCAGCTTACCAATGCACCCAAAATCGAGCGTTTTGGACCGGAATTGAAAAAGTTATGAGTATTTTGAGAAATCAAAAGTTTCTCTAAACACTAATGAGCCAAATTTCAGTGCTTGTTACAGGTTGTAATTGGATGATTGTGAAGGTTTATTGTTAGTACACTTATCAATATGGACTGTAAAAATACGCAAAAATATGCAGAGTGAAGTTCTCAACGCAGGGAACAAGATGCATATTTTTATTCATTTTTTGCTCTCCTCCTGGCCTCTCAATATTTTTGTGTATCAATAATTTAATTTTCTGCCCAGAAAATATTATCTTTCTTGTAGTGTGATTGGTCATCAAGGACACAAGGTAGGTGATGCTTGCTGCATTGCGTCTGCTTGGAGATGCGTGTTCGAACTGACAAGTGTTTCTTCATAGATGTCAATCCTCTCGATCCCAGTCCACTGCAAAATTTCAGTGTGGAGATACCTTTGGCTAGGAAATCGGGGTCAAGAATCATACAGGATGATATAAGGGCCGACCGATATCTTCAACGTGTAATGGGATGGCGACGAAGCTCTGAGGCACCACCCTTCCGCCCCTTGGGCTTCAATACGATGCCTGTTGAGGAGAGACCCAGTCGATTGAACAAGAGAACTACCCCGGATCCCGCTAGATCTGAAGAAGAAGAGGATCGACCCAAACGAAAAATCAGAGTCAAGATTCGAAAGCCCCCAGGTTTGGAGGTCGACCACTCTTCCTCCCCTACTGTTCATTTGATGCCTCGAACTTCCCATCCACAACCCTCTCAACTCTCCTCCTTGGCTCCTGCTCGATCCCTACCCCCACCTTCCATCGGACGTGCTATTTCACCAGTCGCTGCGCCCCCTCTTTCGAACCTGGCAGCTCCTTGCTCTTCACATGCTACTCCTAAACCCCCGAACCTGCCATCGAATAAGCCTCCGCACTCCCGTCAAAGCCCTGTGATTCTTGAAAGTTCTCCACCCCCGGTTTTGGAAGACACTTCGAAAGTTCCTTTATTTCGACTTTCTTCACCATTGGAAAGCGAGGAACGAACCAACGAACAAGTCCAATATCCCGATGACGAAGACAGAGCCACTGGAAAACATGGACAAGTGGTAGATGATCCTACGAGATTGAACAAGGCAGTAGGAGCTGCTGGAACTGAATTAGAGCACCAGTTTTCTCTTGCACAACATGGTGGAAACCAGCGGTCCGAAAACACTCAGAAAGATTGGGGCGATGATATTGATTCAGATGATAGCTCTGTAGACTGGGGTGTAGTCGAGCCCAACAATTTTGATGGTAACGTGGTGGCGGAGCAGATGAAGAAGGCAGCAAAAGATATGGAGAGATTCATGGCAAGCAAAATGTTGGAAATTGCTGCTTTGATCCCAGCCGGTCATAACTTTAATAATTTCATTGCTATGCGTAAAGCGATACAAGATCAGTGGAAAGGATATAAGGAAAAAGTGAATGAGGCTGTCAAGCCTTTACAAAAATTATAAATTAATGTTGTTATTTCTGTTTACTTGCTTTGATAAAAAATGGTGGCCCGTATATTTCTATCTTTGTTCCTTTCGAAGTCTCAAAATCAAGTTCCTGAATGTAAAGTGTCCCAATTTTAATGATGGACGTAAGATATAAAAATTTGATAATTTCAACGTGTCTGTACAGTCTGCCCTTCTTTGAGAATTCAAACTTTGAACGCCAACATCGATTTCCAGTTCCAGTTCCAGTTCGACTTCAACGAGCTTTGAGCTTCAAGCTTCAAGTTCAGATGTTTCGACATTCGAAAGTTCGATTTACAAGATCACTTCGATTTTTTGCTTGTCGGAAGATTGAAACTCAAGTCATTTGGAGAGGATCCAAAATAGCTTTTGAGACTCACACCTCCATCACCGCACCGGGAAAGGAATCTGAATGATACCCTGCGTTTGACCGTAGTTGTACAGCGCTAAATCCAATCTTTTCAAGGATGGGCGTTCGAAGTGACTACCATAAAGCATGAAGGCTCATTTAGAGCCCAAATTAAGTATGCCTATCTCCTCGACTCACAGTCTTCACAATTCCCTCTGATATCCATATCTGAATGACAATGATGAGAAAATCTTGAGATACTTACATAAATGTATAATTATATAATGACTTTCTCAGCATGTAAAATTGATAGCATACATGTATTACCCAATTGAGAGGATGTGTTTAGTGGACCAAGAGAAAAGCTAAGCAAATCAGTTTAGAAAACTATAGGATTAACTTGAGTAGCACTATATCTGAGTTGATCAACTTGTGAATGATGGGAGTGGGAACTTGTGACTAAGATAGGCAGAAATAGACCAAGTGAAACTCGTCTGGTACGAGTGGACCTTTTAATTATCATACAAAAATATACGTGTTCTAGAATTCTCAGCCAACATCAACATTCAGAAAGGAGTACGAGAGAAATAAAACATAAATGTGAAAATCAATCAAGTTTGTACAAGGAAGACTTATATCTTATATATCCTTTCCAGCAATTGGCTTCCCGTGTATCCTCACCCGATAAATGCACGTATATCCAGAGTGTCCATAGTTTGAGGTGATTTTGAAAAGTACTTTACTGTACACCAAAGGATGTGTTCTTGGTATTTCGAAATTCTGTAAGGGTGAGCTGGGGCTAGAGATGCTGTATACTCCTTTGAACAAAAGAGTCCCGTTCGCTGATTGATTGTGATTGTCATCGAGGCCCCAAAGTTCGAATTCTCTAGGTGCCGCGGTGATGTCATTTTGCGCTAATTGCGCTCCAATGTGTTCAATTGACAAGGAGGTGATGTCAATGGTTCGACTGAGGCCTATCCCTAGCTGTCCAACTGGTCCTTCCAAAGGCCAACAGTTTCCGGCTGAACCATCACCTTTCAGTGCAATTTCTGGTAAACTCGCCTGTAAGTTGGATCCACGTAATGCTCTCCACCAAGAGAGACACTGTCTCCAAGTTGTAGAGGGAACAAAGGAGGGTGAAGTCAAGGATTGAATCACATATCCTCCAGTTTTTAGAAAAGCAAAGTCTCTTTGGCCATCTCAATCCTTGATGCATTGCTTGAAAGCTTCGTGTGCCATGTAGCTCGTTTCCATTTCCAGATCGCCCGACGAAGAGCAATCCTCTGTAATTCTACCCAGCTGATTGTTGTCCCCGGTTCGTAATTTATTTTCCTGCGTGATGGTATGTATCTGATTTCAATGTCATCTATTTCTGTGTACACACGAACATGACCTGTTGCTACTGGCACCGCTCCTTGCACGTCGGGGTTAGGGGTTTGAAGTTCCACCATGGAAGCTGTGTCGCCACTTGAAGTTTGGGAGTTCAGGTGTACTCGCATGTACTGGAGGTCACCTTCGGCTTTTTTCAAACGTCGATCAAGAAGGTGAATCCGACCGCATGTAGCTATATGAGAGGTTGAATCAGCCTTCAAGACATAGACCGAGTTTAAACATGCACGAACTCATCGCAAGGAATATCAATAACCAAATATGCATTGCAGGGGCATGTCGTGAAAGTTCAGTGATAGCTTTCCTAGCTCGTAGTCCAGCGCTACGACCGAAGCTGAGTGGTACTCCCTCGCTTGACTGGCATACCTCAAGACTTGGCATTATGGGTTGGGTAATGTCTTGTATCGAATTTAATTATGGGCTTTGGATAAGGTCAAAGGCTTATAGCTTGCGAAGATTAACCACTGCTTCAATGAGGAGAGAAAATAGATATCAGAATGAATCGAGTGCAAGCCGCGAGTTGAGAGTAATTCATGTAACCATCGAGTTCATAGATATATATACTGACAACTGACATCACAGATGCACTATGTTCATGAGTTCCATGCGCCGGACTGAGCCCGGATGGCTGAGATGAAACGTCTTGGACAGAACGCAAAAACGTGGAATACGCAAGCAAACATTGGCGCCTTTGTGTGCACGTATCCCAGCCAAAAGTACTGTTACATACATAGCGCAACTTGGGAGATGAGATTGATTCTCTGAGGAATCTTTTTCCGAAGTTCCTGCGGACCCAAGTACCTGAGCTAAGCTGCGTAGTGGAGTGTTGGACTCCAGAATTCAAGGATGAACATTCACATATCTGAACGGCGTCTGGCTCGTTGTTGAGCTGATGGACTCGATCATAGCTCAAGAAAGGAGGCCTGGGTTAAACTCAATTAAACTTACATAGAGCAAGGAAGTTCAAACTCAAATCTGAACCGAGTCTGAATTGTTGAGTCTGACTTGTTGTTGAGCTGATAGACTCGATACCTCCATAAAGGTGGCGTGGGCTGAACTCAATCAAGCGCACTTAGAGCAACGAAGTTCGAACTATCCCCATCCGTCGTAAGATTAGCCAGCCATCAACCTCGCAGACACTGACACTTGGACTGTTTTGGTTGTTAACAATTTGTACCGCACCCAATTCCTTTCGAAATGAGTGTTTCTTCCGGTGGCGGGACATCCTACAATCATGTACTACGAATTGAATCAAGTGAGGCACCAGCTTCATCCCGCCACAAGAGATCATATGGGGGTGTACTAGAAGCCGAATCAAGTGACGCGTCAGCGCAGGATTTTCACTCAATCAAATGCCGCAAAGTGGGGAGTATGGTGGGTTCATCATATACTTGAAATCTGGACTTCCTTGAGATGACTAAGTCTCCTATCTCTTCAACACTTCTACTAACAAGTCTCATCGAACACCGCCTGATTCAAGGTTGGATGATCAACAATTCATCAATCACCTCATGAATAACGCTGGATTTGCCGACTCAACAGGAAGATACACAGACGCTGTAGCAATATATCTGCAACTCCTGGATTTGTATACCGCCAACATGTTAAAATGTGAAAGCAAAAACGGTGTGACCAACACTGCCAGCATTAAATAGGTTCCCTGGCGGGAAAATGGGTACCCCAGGGGACATCATTTTCCAAATTTCTTTAGCAGACATGTCTTGGAGACATGGACTAGGCCAGATGTTAAATGCAATGAGAAGCGTGAAACCTTAACAAAGGGAGTACTTCATTAAAAGGAGAGTAAACTACTTTGAAAACAGCGTAATTTGAACTACAATATATGCAGCCAAAGTGAAGGTATCTCAGTGAAGGTATCTCAACACCTCCTCAATCTGACTGAGTTCAAAACCTTAACAGAAAGCCTCAAGCCAATACCCCATACAATTTCCCCTTGTCTACAGTTTGGGGTTACAGAGTGGAGCAGCCTGCGCCACACATTTATAGACATAAGGCAGATATGCACATATAGCAAGTCTAAGTGAGTGGTATACCACATTGGGCTGATGCAATGTGATGTGCCCAACGCGGCCACACATCACATTGGCACTGCGAAATCTGTCATTGTCAGCCAGTATTGCAGTGTGTACTGGCTCACACCAATGTCTTGCACCACAGTGGTACAATGCACACTACATTTCCCTGTGATGACATGGGTTCCATTAGCCCGTGTTGCGCATAAAGGATGTTGCACACAATACAATCCAACACAATTCCACAACAGGGACACGTGGATCACAATGGATAAATCAATCTGACATTGGCCCAAGTCTTTTATCAGGGTCACAAAGCAAGCCTCAGATACTCATCTTGAACATGCAGTTCAAAGAATACACGCTCAAGTATCTCTGGACTCTGTGGGGAGCAGGTTTTTTGAGATCCTTCCCAGCCAGACAAATGCATCATGACTGACATATGATATTATACTTCATTAGCTCAAGCCCTAATAGTGTTCCTGCAAGGTCATTTTTTAACCAGTCAATAAATACAAGTAGTGGCAAACCAACCAATATCCTCACACCAAAAATAGTACAGATACAGTATATCTTGCTTGGTATCAAAAAATGAACATCAACTTGATAGTATCTTCATACTTCAAGTACAGGTTGACCTGTGCCTCCAGATGTGACAAGATAACATGGATTATGGATTCATGAAAATTGTATTCGTTTAAGCCCATATCACCAGAGCACATAGCAAGGAATCATTTGCTTTCCAGTTGTGATCTATATAAATTCTCAAGCTTGTTGAGAAAACTACTTTACATTTGCATTTATGACCTCTTTAAGCGTCCTCATCATTTCCAAAACATGATATCTTCTTCAGCACCTCAAACAAGTAGATATAGATGTAGTTTGATTTTCAAAGACAAAAGAGACTTTAAAAGAGACCATAAAAAAGTTGTATCAATGACTATCACACTCGAGTACAATTGTAATCAGACTTACCTACGCTACAGCTAATGGTCAAGGGAAACCATTGCAATGGTTTTGAGATTCAAGAGGAAATGTATCTTGTTTGGTTCGTAGACAATCCACGCACACTGAGCCTTTATCTCGCTAATATGGGTCAGTCGAGCTGTGCTGGAAATCTCTAGGCGTAAATTTACCTGCATGTCAGGTAAGTTTATCTTGGCGAAAGGGTCGGGCTTCTCCGATGGCACTGGTGCAAAGTATCTAACCATGAGCCACGTATCAGACACTGGTGGTCGATTTCCAGTCGGACACCGTTCATGTTTGAATATAGACATGATTTTTCCAAACAAAGTGGCACCATTTGACCGTGAAACCACGTGAACTACGCTGTTCTTCGGATCACGTTCAAAGGTGGTGTAATGTACTCCTTCGTGGCAAATTCCAGTCTCAAACATTGCATGTGACGTAACCGGCGCGAACTCGGCAGCAAGTGTATCAGGTAGATCAGACCATTCATGGGATGCTAGCCAGGTACAGTTTTCTGCATGAAAAGCATTCAGGCGCTTCACGAGTTGATGTGAGATCGTATCGTCAAGAGGCTGGGATTTTGATTGATTGGAAGAATCTGGCTCAAAAGGGACTGGATCAAAAATGTCCTTGAGCTGTTGGACAAGCGGTTTCAAGCTGATCGGGATCTTAGACTCGTCCTCGAGCAAGGCAGCTATATTGCCTGCACGACAAAAGCTCGACAGGAAAGTAATCTCGAGCTCACCTGTCACACAAAAAAGGTCAGCCATTCTGAGAAGGGGAAGTTCAAGGTACAGCAATTACTTACCTAAGTGATTGTTATGACATGCTTTCAAGATTCGACCCATCAATCTTTCAAATGGAAATGACCACCAAGCTCGGACGGGTCCGAACTTGGCAAGGATGTCGGGAAGATGCAGGGCGATATGGTGGTTGGGAGCGAAAGAAGAGTCTTTGAAGAGCTCGAGAGAGCTGTGTAGATATGTTTGGAGGTGTTCTCGAAGTCTCGAGATCCGCTCGGAGGTCATGCTCCGCTTGAGCGCTAGGTTAGTCAAGCATACCAGGTGACCAAAGTCGTGCAGGAGAGCTGCGTTTGACTGGTCCTCACCAGTCCACTGAGGAATCAAAATGAGAGGCAACTGTACCGTAAATAGAATCCGCAATTCGTCGGCCTTGAGCGTGGCCGAGCCTTTTCAGCCAAGAGTTGGTAATATACGTTGAAGTGAAGATGGGCTCTGGATTCGTCGTATGCGTGAGTTGACAATGTCTAGTACATTTGAATCAAATACTACTGGGTTTCTCAGCGGGTGTTTATAGCTACCGTCCCAGCCGTAGAACATCTGGGCAAGAGGGTCGAAAGAATCATCGCCGGAAGACGTGTCTGATGCTAGAATGGCATCTGCGAGTGGAACCCCGACCTCTTGAGACTTATGTTGATATCTGTCACGATTTAGTATCCTAGTTGTTGATGCAGCTACTAGGTTTCTAAGTTGATTGGTCGTCATTGGTGATGGAGGAGGGTCGTTGTCCACCTCTTCTGACATTGCCCAGAATCTTGTGCAATGCCAAGAGAGGAGGCCGAGTAAGATGTTATGCATCGAGTCGATTACATGATAGTCCGTGACCTTCCAGTAATCCAGCTCGACCATGACTGAGTATCGAACACCCGAATCTTCAAATATCTTCTGGCGCTCTTTTGCAGTTTCAGCATCTCGAGCAGCAAGTGCATGAGCTCGGTGCTCAGCTGAAGTTCTGAGTTTCCATGAGTTAGGATCGATGTTGTCAATCTCGTGTATGGTGATGTGACAAAGGGAACAGAAGCAAGTTGCACTGTGGTGAGCCATTCCGAGGGCACCCCGTAACGCTGGCAGATCTGCTATAAATGGCAAGACAGCCGCGCGTATCAGACGCCCTTCGGGATGGAGGGGAGTGCGAGAGAGCCAAATCCCTTCATGCCACAGGGAATTAAGTTGGGTGATAAGAGGACGCATGACCCAGTTGGTCTGCTCGAGAGACGGTGCTTTGGGACCAGGTGCAATACCAAAGAGATATATGTTCTCGGGTCGGAATCGGACGTTGAATGGTAAAGTCAAGCACACAAGAACAATAAAGGTAATAGTGGCAGATCGTCCACCGGGTTTCTTGCCTAAGGGTTGAATCCCATCCATAAACATTGCAAAGGTAAGATTGCCCGTCTCAGCAGTGTATTGTGTACCATCAGGCCCGCAAAACTCCTTCCAGATGAGTGACTGATGGATGTCCTGAACAGATGAATCGACGTCGAAAGGCTTTCGGGATTCTGCGAGGGATTTATCGAGAGCTTCTTCGATGGATGGTCGGCAGATGAAGCGGGCAATCCAGTTGTTCAAGTCTTGAAATGCGAATTTGCGGACGTGTTTCCCATTGGGCAGAAGTAAAGGTTGAGAGCACATTTGGAAAGCACAATCTTCAGGTGAGTCGTCTGGCGTAAAGACAGGGATTGATGACTCGTCGTAGCTTTCTACACCACCCGGAACACGATCCAACATGTGAACACATCTTGGAGGGGTGCTATCGACAGGATATAAAGCGAAGCAAGCCGAACAGCAATTGAAATATACCAGGTTCGGGTCGATTTCCAACCACCTGTGTACCGTTCTGATATCACGTGGGACTTGGCCAAGCGTGAGAGCTGTCGTGTTGGACATAGGTATCCCAGATGGTTCCCCCGTGATCCCGTGTGATAAAGTCAACTGAATAACATCCCGTTGGGCCCTTAGTAGCCAAGAAGCTGTGACAAGCGAAGAATGATCGAATACCGCCATGAGACTAGCCACCAAGGACATGTGAATTACAACCGGAATGTCACCGCGCAAACTGTGTGCTAGGATCCTAGCTTTGTGTGTAAAGAATGATTACATCAGTTCTGCTCTCCAAGTAAAGAACAGGACATACCCGATAACGTAGATTACAGAGATGTGAGTGGAAGTGAAAGTATTTTGAAAATATCCTCACTAGTGTCAAATGTGTTGTTGAATGCATTGGGGGGTTCTCCTTGAGAGGCTGCTCGAAAATTGGAACGCCCAGTTGGCTCCAAATCCATCGGCTCATCCAAAGCCGGAACTTGAATATCTTCTTGATCAAGTCGAAGATTGGGGCCACGATCAGGGTTTTCGACTGGATCACCCTGAAGATCGACATCCATGAGATCCGGATGACGACTATCCGTTTCGAGACGAGCAAGGACCTCGGCTCGCTGATCTGCCGATCGATGAATTCCACGAGTGATGCGAGGAATAAGCAGACCAGCCTGCTCGACGCCGTTGACAGGGTGAGTTTCCTTGATACACTTGGAGCATAGACATAGGACGACTGGCTGTTTTCCGTGACTCATGATTTTGGATATGTATATTTGAAGTTGGCGTTGAATTATATATATCAGTGGGATGAAGTTGTGAGTAGTAGACGTTAGTCGGAGTACTCACAACTGATAGTAGTAGACGCTAGTCGGAGGAAACAAAGGATATATAGCCCGGTGGAATTAGAACTGGCGGGTACTTCGACGTCTTGCTCTTCGGGGCCGGGGAAAAGGACCTATTCAATCTTCCAAGTCTTCGAAGTTTTGGATGATTGTGAGATGTGGAAAAATATGTAAGGATTGAATTAGGTGTTTTTTAGATCCAAGACAGAAACTGATGATTTTCTTACCATTGGAATTCCTATTCTAAGATTGGATAAAGCTTTGGTTGTCCTTTTTGTTTCTGGTGTTGGTTTCGAATAGGATCCCGTGGATTGAATGCTACCAAAGATTCTGAAAAGAACACGTTCAAGAATTAGTTTTAACCTTCAAGTTTTTAGAAGATGGAGTTGTGTGATAACTCACTAAATAGTTTATGAATCAAAACATTCGATTAAGAAAACAATCCATCAAGACCATGATTATGGTGCCATTGCATAACGTGGATGATGTATATAGAAAAACATTTGGCGCTTATGTATCATCTTGGCTTAATGTTGCTCAATCCCAGACCCCGCAAAAGGATTGTAGTGTAATAGTATGGAAATGAGGCGTTGAAAACGCTTCAAGTGTTTTGCATTGCTATAATTCTGGTTGAACAAGTATCTGTCTCATAGTTTGATATTTGGGTTAAGGCATGGGATACGAAGTTGAACGATGAATCTGGGTATATTGTGATTGATTATCATGTTGATTCAGGCAGCTTACAATCATCATATATAAAATAGACGTAATGATACGAGAGAGGAACTAAGTACAATCAGCGCTCAAGTGAGATGTGCGCCGCTAGATTCTTTTTGACCGTGCCCAGGATACGTTGCTCAACAACTTCCAGTGCTTCACGCCGACCAGGAACTGCATCCAGCCATGTTGGACAATAGCAATCAATACAGAGCCGCTTCGGTGCCTGCTTTTTGCTGATTGGATTATTGGAATCGCGCTGCCGAATTCTGGGCTGGTTACCGGGGGAACCCTTGACTGGATTCTTCCTTTCTCGGGCGGCATCTATATCGTCAAATATTTTATCAAGCTGAGGGTTTCGCCAAGGTAATCTTCGAATCTTGCAAAGCTTCCTTTCCGCATCCTCGTCGGCCTCCGGATCTGTTTCATCATCACTGCAGCAGACCTGGACAACTGCAGTGAGGGTCCAGAGATTTTCACGGGCCATAACGTAGTTGCTTCGTCCTTCTCGGACCTGGTAGATTTTCGAAATAAGATATGTTTAGACGTCTTCTTGTTTTGCGAAGATACATCAAACAACCTCAACTCACGTTGCTGATTCGGTTATATTGCATTTTTGCTCTATATGTTTCTTGCTGTCGATTTTGAGACCAAGTTCGGTGTTTGCGATATCTGAAAATGATAATGAAGTTTAATGTCAGTATTCAATCACTATGGCCAAAGGTTAGAAGCTTACTTTCGACGCCAGGTATCATTCATATGGTTCACGATCATGGGGTATATTGTATTGGCTTCGGCGACGGACTTCGATACACCAGAATACTCGCCTGATCGAACTAGTTTGAGAAAGATGGCAGTTGCAACTTTGCAGAGATGTGCATTGTCATCTGAATTCATAGGCTGCTCCCATTCCGGTCGAAATCTCTTGACACCGGCTTGTGACAAAGTGTTTTGGATGATTTTGACGGAATTGGGACTCTCATCTGTCACTACCAGTCCACTCCCATAGACTCCCTCATCGGCATCTTCCTCATCGGCGGGTCCTGCCTCAAGTAAGCCGTAAATTGTGGTTTCTGTCCTCCACAAACGCCTTTCAGCGGGTGTAGCACCATTTAGAGGTATTTTGTTTTCTGGTTTCAAGCCGAGGAGAAATCGAATAAGCTTGCGGATATACATCTGGAAAGGATATACGTTGCACAGTGGTTAGTGAGGTCACGAGATGATAATGAACGAAATGAAGCTTACTCTCTGTGGAGAAGATCTGGGTGATGGAGTTCCACCGGTACTTTCTTCGCCATCGCTATTTTGTCTGGAGCTTGACAAATTCCTGGGAGTTGATCTGGATGTGCCACTTTGACGGCCCACATAGTGTTTCAAGAGATCATTCATGGAACTGAATTCGGAGGTCAAACGACGTATATCTTGCGTGTTGGAAGAGGAGATGTTGTTCAAAGAAAACACGTGTTTTTTCATACTTCGCAACTCATTTCTGATTGCGGAAAGTGCCACATCATCGGAAGATCCTGAGGGGCCTGGTGCAGTTGTTGTTGCTCGCTGAGTTCGGGAGGAATCATCACCCAGGAGATCTCTCTCATTCCAAGCACCAAGAATTTCAGCTTCACCTTCTTCAAGTTCTTGCTCCATGTCGGAAATAGAATCCTGGTTAACCGCCCGTGCTTTCCCTTTGGACTTTGATGAAGTTCGAGGGTTCGACACTTCCTCCATCTCCTCATCATCATCATCATTTTCGTCTCTACCAGGCGCCCAGTCATCGTCCTGTAAGTCATCAACACCATTTCCGTCATCTGAGTCTAAATTCTCGTTCTGTCGTCGGCGGAGATTTGGGTGACTCGAATTCACGGAAGTCTTTTGGGGTTTGGTGGCAGGAACTCGAAGTTGCAAGGGATTCCCTGACTTTGGTGTGATCTTCACGCGTAGGCTCTTGGAAGGTCCTCCACGCCCTTGTACGAGTGAACCTCCGCGAGAGCCCCTTCGAACGATGTCGGAACCCCGGCGATGGCTGCCACGTCGATTGGATTTCTTTGGGAGAACTGGCCTGTCGGAATCGCTATCATCCTCAGAAGACTTGTGGGTGAGTGCAGATTTTTTTTTTCGAGGACTAATTCGAAGTTTCATGATTGGAATGTCGTCATCATCATCATCGGACCCGGAACTCCTGGTGTGTTTGTGCGGAGGTAATATCGAGCTTGCTTTCTGCTTCTGAGATGGACCTGCCGTCCCGGAGGTGGAATTCTGATCTGAATTCGATGCACGACGAGTAACTCGTGGCCGGAGGCGGCGATCTAAGATGGGTCCAAGACTGTCCCTTTCTTCTTCAGAGCTTGCCTCAGACGCAGGGTGAAGAAATCCAGCGCGTTCGGTTCGAGTCGGACCTGCCTGACGCGAATTAGTCTTCCTCGTGACGCCAGCGCCAGTGGGAAGATGAGTCGAAGTGATTTGAGAGTCCTGATTGGTGATTTGTGGCTGAAAATCGCATTCGATAGAAGGACCAGCCCCGGAACCTCGCAATATATGCCCGTGATTCTCTTCAACTTCGTCGCCAAAGGGATCATTGGAAGTCCACTGCTTCAAAATGCGGAGCGCTTCTTCCTCTTCCTGAGTGGGCGGATTCCCGTCTATCATGTCAGTTTCTTCATCGACGTTTTGAAGTGTCTGGCGGTTTGTAGCTGTACCCCGACATTTAGACCTCGTAAGCTTGTCTGAGCTCCAAGTAAAAACATCAAGATTGGTAAAATGAGAAAGACTTACAGTTTGATATTTGCACTTGGTCTGTAGATCTTGAGGGTTGATGTGAAAGGTTTGGCTGCTTTCGGGGTCTTCTTGATCATGAACCGTTTCGTATGTCAATTTCTTCCACTTCATCCTCAAGTGGTTGATTGTTTTTTTTTCGGGCCTTCACAGGGTTACAGTTCTTGTGGTAGAGTCTGGAGATTTGGTCGTTACTGAGGGTGCATCCAGTAACGTCCACTCCTACGGCAGTTAACGCGTCCACCATCACGTTCCTGTTGAGTTCGGTAGCGCCTGCACCTTCAAACCAGCAACATAGAGGTTGAGCACAACATGCCTGAAAGGGGAAAGAGACTCCGTCTACGTACCATTTGAATCTCCTGAAAAGCCTGTACCAGACAGTCTTCGTTTCCCACCAGCAACAACACTCGTCCCTTGAAAAAAGGATCTCGTTAGCACCTTATTGCTACGGGGCTATGAGAGGGCTCGACGGACGCACCATTGCGAGTAGGATGTTCGTTGGCTTCGGCAGTGGAGGCCCTTCTTCTGGATTCACCTCGTGTCTCAGGCATGAAATCTGGAAAGTCGAAGTAATCACAAAGTAGATCAGTATATGGTTGAACTTGAAGGACACTCTGACGACTGCGTTGGAGACACACCAAGAGAACCTCTGAAAAATGTTGAGAAAGCTTTGAAAGTTTTAATTGAGCGAAAAGGATGCCGATTTCTACGGGATCTTATGAAGGTATCAGGGAGGTAAAATAATTAATTTTTGGAAAAAGAATCTGAAGCAATGAATGAAGTTATCCAAAAGGTTGGATGATGAAAGCGAGACGGATATGGATTCAAGACTTTCGAAAAAGTAGGAAATTAAGTGTATATATATTAATGGAATAGAAAATAGGTGGAAAGATATAGAATTAAGGGAAGATATAAAATCAAGTGTAAAGACAATTAGTGGATAGGAGTAAGTGAAATAAAGATAAAAATGCAAAAAAAGAAGAGAGTCTAACAAAACAGACTGTGAGCGTGGAGCGTGCAGAAAGGAAGGGAATTTAGCAGGGTATAATAAGGAAGACTTCTTACCCAGTCGATGATTTATTTGGAACCTTTTTACTTACAGAAACGTTGCCTTTGAGTATATAGTATGGTACCGCGCCTTTCAACATCGCGCCTGCTCGGCTGCGCTTGTCTTCTCTGAAGTGGGTGGATGCGCAGGAAATGTCCACGGCTGAGGGATGAGGGTCAGTAGGTGAGCGTTATCTTGGGGTTGAATGCTGAGAGCTTACCGGTTTGCTAGAGCTCAGCCTCTGAGCTCAGAGGAAAAAGGGAGAAATAAAGCCTCTCAGTTCGATCAAACAACTCAGGTGGAGGGCGAACGGAAAGACCGGATTGCATGTATCTTCATGTAAGTATGCAGAAACGTTTGGCGATCATATAATTAAGAGGTTCAAAGAACCAGTAAAAGAAAGAGAAAATAAATTCTCAAAGTCGACATTGGAGTAAGTGGCAGTAGTGCAGAGGTAACTATAACAGAGTCTTGTGTTCTAAGTGCTTTGATTGTGGTGAGGAATGGGAGCGGACCAAAAAACATTCGTACCATCAGGCTGAAGGTTCCAAAAAAAACCGGAGGAATAAAGAAAATTGCAATTCTACACACCTTGAGACGGTACCTCAGAGGACAGATTGATTACATGACATGTTTGTACAAGTCAAGTGAAAAAACATGATTTAAGAAGGATACGACTTGTCCAAAGAGGAGTTTTAAATCTTGGGCAAAACAAAATAACCGTAGTGGGAGCAAGTAGTACAATTACGGAATAAGAAAAAAAATTCAACAATAAAAAAAGGCTAAGCTGAAAACGAGATATTAACGGTACACATGAACAAATTCATTTGGCTGATCTCTTCCTTAGACTCTTGGCTTTATGAGATGAATTTGGGTTGTTTAACTTGCTCATCTTAATGTCGAACTCTTGGCCATAACACTTCACCACCTCCTTCTTGTATAATTTCCACTCCTCGTCCGTTTTGCCTTCTTTCATTTTCAGGAGACCGTCGATTCGCTTGACCAATGCTGCACTGATCTGTAAAGAACAGCCGAATCGAGTGATCGGAGATGATTTTGGATGAATGGGTGCCCATCCTTCGTCATAAGTCGTAGATGTCTAGCATTCGAGCCTGATCGGCGAGAAGTGCGCTCCGGGTTTTCCCAGTCTGTTGACTGACAGCCGTTACACCTGATTTGATAGGACGGAAAAGCGTGAGCATGAGGCCATTGAGGTGACAAAAAGACCGCATTCAAAATTGAAAGCGTACCAATCTTTCGTCCTTTATCTGAGCCAGGGCGAAAACCCGCTGCCCTCATTTCACCGCAGTCTTTCAACCCTTGCATTGAACTATTAACCTTTACGGTTGAACGAGCCAAAGTATGCTGATAAATACTTTTGATGACGAAATTCATTTCCGTTTTCTTCTCTCGTGACACATGAAGAATGAATGCAGAATTCCACCTTTTTCAATTTTGTTTGTCCTTCAGGTCAATCATTTTTCACTTGGGAAAAGATCCGCATCCGGGGCAGTTTAGGGAGAGCATCCTCTGCATGCTTTTTCAGAAAGTAAATTCGACAATCCGGAGGTACTCCAAATCGGCGACTCAGCTCCTTTCTCAGGGATGCGTATGCAATGGTCCTAAGTTCGTCTCGACCGGAATGATTGGGTGCCTTTCGTTTGGGTCGGTCACGGACTTGGGCGCTACTTCTCTTTTGGCTGTAGTTACGACTGCTAGAGGAGCGTTTTTTTGGCATGGCCTAAAAGCAAAGATGACACGTCAGCTTCGAACAAGAGAGTAGGACAATGGCACGAAAGAATTTAGCGTACAATATGTATTCCGTGAACGACTGAGTTGGAGTGAAACCAGCACTGGGACGTAGAGAAACAACTGGGGAGTGTCAGTTTAGGAGATAAAACAGAGCAAGAACGAAATCAAGACGTTGGGTGACGTCCCACATGAGGAATCTCAACCCAGATATCTCGGATTACACTCTTGATCCGTTACACCCGGGGCAACATGAGAAGCACTTACGAACCTTGAGGTAGCAAAAGCCTGGCTGCCAGTTAGCCAAAAGGATGGAGTGAGATAGTGACGTGGGAAATAGAATAGCACAGGAGTTGTCAATCTCGAAAACTGACGCGGAGGGAATCTTTTTTGAGTAGAGGGAAAGGGAACACGAACTATGTGAAAACGAGTGGATAATGAATTGCGGTGTTGATGGGTGTTGATGGATGTTGATGTTGCAGTGGGCGAAACGAGGCGATTTTGGATGCGAAACACTCAAACAAGCCGATATTTGAATGTGGTGAGGTTTGAGCTCAGATGCGCAAAAGCTTTTGGAAATCGAGGAAACCGCGGATTGCTTTGGACCTTGACCTAAAAACCTGCTTGCTTTCGAGTCTCGTGTACAGCGGATCGGATGTTTAGGCCGGGTTTAGTAACCAAGCAACATCCGATCCGCTGTACACCAGACTGGAAAGCAAGCAGGTTACTAGAACGAGAAAAACGGAGGTCTCGGAATCATTGAACCTTTGTTTTTCAAGTGTAGTACATACTTTCAACACTTGAGCTTTCAAAACTTGAAAGCAGGGGATGGAAAGCAGAGAACCCGACTCAAGCACTTTTTAAGTAGTAAGGAGTACAGTACAGGCAATTGAGCAATACAATACGGTTTTTCACATGTCAATTCATTGGAAACGGGACACTGGTACCACCTAGTATTACATATGTAGTAGTAAGGCTAAGACTCACTCTACTACTCTATGCCCACTATCCCCACCTCCGATTCAATTTTTTTTTGGAACACCTCATACATAATCTCATTTGGATGACTGACTCGTGGTGTCACTGGACCCGAACGCTTGGAATCACCAAACAAGCGGCCTTTACGTATTTCGGCACACCCAAAACTTTGGAGGACCTCTCCATAAGCGGGCTTAAGGCCTCTTAATCCCAGCCACCATGAATGTTTTTCGAAAAAAAACTTTTCTTCTTTTGGTAGACTGACTCAAGGTGTCACAGCACCCGAACGCTTTCAACCACCCAACAAGCAGCCATTACGTACCACATTTCGGCATACCCAAAAAATTTGGATGACCTCTGATAAAGCCGGGTTAAGGCCCTTAATCCCAGCCACCATGGAGTGACTTTACACGATCAGCCTTCGAAGCTGCCCCCAAAATGGCACAGTCATGACATCTATGCCTGTGCCGTCGTACGAGGTTTCAGATTACACGCTCATGAGCTTTGGACTCAATTGAAATGAATCTCAAAAAGGAAACATTTCGAGTCAGCAGTCTCCGCCGCATATTGAGCGTTAATGAGCAATTTTTGGTTACCTATGCTGTTCCTCGTTGTACGAGGGCTTGGGGGCTCAGCCTGAGAGTCAAAGCCCTCGTACAACGAGCTACGAACCGTTTGAGTCAGCAATCTCCGCCGATGATTGGCTGTTATGACATGTATGTAGCTCATCGTACGAGGTCTCGGGTGACGAGTGATAGCATATGAGGCCCTTCGCTCATAAGCCACACATTCTTGTCATGTTCTCACCCCAATCAGCACCAAGTTGACCTTCAAGCCGCCCAACCTCGCTCAAATCAGAACTCTTCCATCAAACCTGATATCAAAGGTTTCCACAACCGTCTCAGCGCCTCTCCAGAAAACTTTATCATGGCCATGGCTCTTCGCGCTTTAGTGTTAGAAGATGATTTACATGTATTCTTACAAGTGGCTGGAGGAAATGTACGCCTACCCTTGGTGACCACGACTCAACTTGTAGAAATCCTCGCTGTGTTTCATCCTGGTCTTCGTCTGGGCAGGCGGCTCTCTAGAACAACGGCCGTGCGCCTCTTCGACTTATTAGTTCGACCTTTCATTGAACACATGGAAAGTTTCGACGAAGAGACCAACATAATGTCTTATTGGGAGGTACCTCTTTGAGCCGAGATATGATGCACAAGGTAGGCGGCGTCTATCCCACTCATATTCGCGTGCACCTTCACCACAAGATTGAAGATGTTGATCATTCTTATAAATTCTCAGATTCAAAACTCTCAAGAGAAGCCGGATCTAAATATTTTGGCCTTTGTGATTTGTTTTAGTGGTATTGAATTATGTAAATCCAACCTCACGGGCTATGACTTCAACCGAATAAATTGAATATCATTGGGCTTTTTATGTTGTCTTTGCACTGACCTTTAATTGAGATTCATTATGAGTACTGGTCCGAGAATTCATATGTAAGCCTGAACTCCCATGGGTATCAACAGAAAACTAGCTTTCGTCAATTTCGTTCAGCTTCTTCCCCCCAAACATAGTGGTGTTTTCGATGAAAAAGGGGTGAGAATATGATTCTCACCTATTCGAAATTGTAGTGAATCTAGTTGGAAAGCGTAATATGCCTTTAAAAGACACTTTCCAATAGACAGATGAAGCCCTGTGGCCTGATTATTCCCCTTACCCGCTCCGAAGGATATTTGAAATCTGCCCTTCATTTGGGATCCTTTCATGAACACGTCCTCAATTTCAGATACTTTCACTTCCATTAGCCCGGTCTCTTTTGGCACGACGATCATATAAAGTCCATTAGCATGGACTACCGATTGGTTTTCCCTTACTTCATTATCCTTACGCTTATCACCCTCCAGTTTTTTCTTCTCATAAATCCCCATTGCTTGAGAATCAATCCATACCAAGTCTTTCTGAAAACGAATATGTCGACCTCGGCCAATCCCATTCCTACATCTACCGTACTTGACCCCGAAACCCCTTTTGGCGAGCACGAGATAGCACCCCAGACCTGCCCTTTGGTTTTGGACACGAAGACAAATGCAGATATCTTTGGAGACCAAAATAACCAAGTTGAAATAGTCAAAGGTAGAAGTCTAGATTACTAACGTATCACGCTTATAGCACTTTCTGACCTCTCTATATCTGAATCGCATCAATTAGCTGTGACTATGGCTTCTGATTTCAACACAGACATCAGCGTGAAAGAGGTTGAAGAGCACGCGAAGCAAGTTCAAGATCTTGAAACCCGAGGTGAGCTAATCCTTGATACCCTCACTCTCTGACAGTTGATCCTGACCCATTGATCGATGGATTTCACTGTGTAGTTGCGAAATTGGAAAGCGGTTTCAATCGCCCCTCCCTTGAAGCTGTAACTTCCGGCACAAACAAGAAGATTCAAGTTCAAGACCTTGAAGCTCGAAGTGAGTCCCTCCTTGATTATATCACTCTGGTAGTGGATTTTGACTCATTGATCAATGCATATTGTGAAATAGTTGCGAACATGGAAATACGTTTCAACCTCCTCAGCACTCGAGCGGGAATTTGTAACGAAAAAATTATAACCAATGAACTGGCTTTAAATGCACAACTCGCCCAAATCAGACGTCAGTATATCCTCTCTTGGTGGCAGTTTCATTTTGTCTGAAGGACTAATGTCCTGCACTTTTTTCAGCATCCCAATTTGAGCGCAATGAATTCATGGCCACCGAAGCATTAAAGGAGAGCTGTGTGCTTGCGAATAAGGTCATGAATTTAGAAGCCGAGACGAGTGATCTACAGACACAATTAGATTTGAACTATATAACACTTCGGGGACACGGGAGAGTCCTCCAAAGAATTATAGATACATTGCACTTAGATATCGATATTGCAGCAGAGATCGATTTTGACCCAGCGGTTGAAAACAATCCACCACTTCCAAATACTCCTTCCACCGGAAATGATTGGACTGCTGTTGACCAACCAGTCTAAATGTAATGTCACATAAATAGTTTCATATTTTTTCCTCTTTAACATATGTATTTAGCACATCCTTAGTTTACTGTGCCGCCTCAAATACTTAACTCAATCAAATTTGTTCTTTGAAACGTTGTTACGTTGAGCCCACGATAAGAGCGAAAGGTGATCATTAAAAAAGCGCCGCCACATGTCTTCATACATGACATATACTCTTGGCAGATTCCTCCCTGACACCCGATCCAGAATCAATGACTTTCTTGATGCCCTTTGTAATGGATGCATAGGTACGAAGTGTGAGCCTTTAAGTTTGATTATTCAAGAACCCACTAACCCCACTGACTTATGTACATAACTTAGTGGTTGATGAGCGCGTTTACCTCCCTTTATGATGAGTGTTCCCTTCTTTCTCACTCTGCTGGAATTTTCACCAGCTCCTTCATCTTACTATTTTCTTTTCCACCAGTCTTCATGTGTTCGCACTCGGTTCATTTTAATCATACACACAGTTTGACGACTTTTGCTCTACATCTGGGCCCCAAAATCAAACAGCCTCCCCTACGTCTACAGCATATCTCTACAGACGTCGACCTCAGTCTCTACGATTACTTTACTCCTTCCGGAATCTTGAAGGTCACCATTGCCGATTCAGACTCCGCCGCTCAATCACTTATGATCCTGATTCAGGAAGGCTCGCAAACCCTTTTTGATGCCATCAACAACGCACACCGTTCTGAAACTGCCGTTGTGCTAGGCACTCATGAAAGCAACCTCCTGCCCCACACGCCTCACACACTTATCACTATTCTAGAACCTCAGAACACCTTGGCAAGTCCGACCAACACCAAGCTGAAACAAGTTGTAGATGCTAGACACCACGAGCTCTATGAATTCAGGAACACCAAGATCTATTGTACACTCATGTTGTTTCAAAGCGAAGGAGATCAGTGCTCCGGATCAGAGTTGCGCCGTCTGGATCTGAGATTCGTCTCTTCTCATATGGACCATACGTTGTCGATCGTTGGTGTCGTCATATTTGATACAGGGTAACCATCATTCCTTATCATGAAACAAATCACACCCGCCTTCGCTGATGTGCAGTTGTCTCTTGTTCAGCCATCGACTGCTGCCAAAACTACTGGCTCTGAGAGAGACTCCCGATACACACAAGATGTTTCGCGACAGGGGCCAGGATCAAAAGGCTTCACAAGACTGTGAACAGCTGAGTTCGAACAAACCTTCCGACCCTGTGCTTCAACGGGATCTGATCACTGGTTAGTCGTCTTACTTGCGTCCTATTCCCCCTTTTACCAACCCTCATTTTCTAATTTTCGGCTGTACAATATGTATCAACAGCTGGCCTCACTTTGGTCGCTGAAACTCCAACGCCGAAGGAGCGTAATGATAACCCGACTGATCCCAATCAGCCAGACTTGGAAGACGAAGCATTTGAGATTCCCCCGGAGATCTGGGACTTTTTGCTTGACGAACAACAGCGGTATCCGGATTATTGGCTTTCACTTAACTCATGACGCTGTCAATTGATGTCCAGCTTTCTCAGAGGACGATCATGACTGTCCACGAGTGTGTCCTAACCGTGTAGCATTAACAGTCTGGACTCTGAACTACGAAGTTCACTGGTATATGTGTGACAGTATGACCCGCATCATGCCTGGCTTGTATCTCTTTATTTATTAAATTTTTGAGCTCTATTCTTATGTTGTTATGCGCTGCGGTAGAGCTTTGTTGGAATTGTGAGCCTCAGACTTAGATTTTCGATCTTTGTAGCGATAATTGTACATAAGAGACTTGGACATGTCAAAATTCTCTCATTTCAAATGACTGACAATCCAATCATATCTGTCTTCGCCACAAACAAAATCCCTCGTGTCCATGTCTCTCATTTGAGCTCAGATGTGACTTGGCGACGTTGCAAGCAAGCAACCTGCTTTATTTTGTGTTCAGTCTCAAAGGCACTGGCTTGAACCATGTTGTTCTTTTGAGCTGTGGAGTCCACCGCTGCTGAGCTGTGCTCGGTCGTTCAATTGGTGACGTTTAGTCGAACTTCAGCCATGCTTGGACTCAGCTTGTCGCTGAGTCGGAAGCGGGGCTGTCATGGAATGACTTTGAAGTTGAACCATACCTGCCAGCCGCCTCATCATTCCATCACTCAGTCCCTAAGCAGGCTGAGCTTTCAGTCTTGCTCGACGAGTCACGAAGGCCAACTCCAACGTGAATCAGCCTCTATATAAGACAGCGCAACCAAGACCCATTTGAGAGGCCCGTAGACCAAAGTCATACATCACAACTCTCATACTTCCTCATAGTCAATTATTATATAAATTAATCATACTTCATCCTAATCAATTGTGATAAGTTATATCTATCATACTTCATCCTAGACAATTATTCACCGTAATCAAACCATTACTTTTCACTCGCACTACCCCTCTCAACGTCACGATCTCAATCTCACGATGGACACGCCAACTGTACCTGTGGATCTTCGACAGCACAAATACTGGGATAAAGTTCAGACGGTCCCCGATCACATCAAGTATTTGCTCAAACCTGATTTAGATTATAGCGCAAAAAGGACTAAAAAAGAAGACCTTCGAGATATGATGAAGCATTTCGCAATTGACCGATCAAAATACCCTACTAGCCATAAGAAAGACAAGCTCCTCGAAACTTACAAGGACCTGCTACTTCCTGACCTTGAGCCTTTCATTCCTAAGGTTGATACTGAAGCCCAGGCGAGAAACGAGGAACGAAGCAAACAGGCCCCTTATATGACGCCGAGTTCTTCATCAATCGAATCCCTCCGCAACGCTATCCTCACTAAGATCAAAGCGGTCTTTGTTCTCCGGGCCTTCACTAAACCTGCGCTTACCAGACTCTGGCGGCACGCGTTCTATCCTCCATCCGACGGCCGATACGACTATGTTGAATTCTACATGCGCCCACATTGGTTCACCGAGGCGGAACTAGCTTCTAAGAGTCGCGACGTCATCCGGCATGCTTTGCAATGCGAGCATCCTGACTTATTCATACCTCTTGTGGCGTGTACTGAACCTATTTTACGTGCGCTCTATGCAAAATTTATGCTCGACAAACATGACCTGGATAGCCAGCTTTGTTACGGGGTACACTACTTTATCATTGAGCCACCTCTTCTTAAGGTCAACATCGATAACACCATGGACGAGGGGTCTGAGGCTGGGCCAAGCAAGGGTTTACATCATCTCCTCAATAAAAGAAGTCCTCAATTTTGATCTCGCTTTTTGACGTGTTTTCGCCCAGACTGTCTTATGTTTAGATAGTAGAATTAGTTTTTTGTAACACTTGATGAAACTATAGACGCCCTTTCCTTGTTCTACTTGGCGATCCCATTAGCTTCTCACAATTGCCAAACTTCTTATACGAGAAATTACAGACATAAAATAACTTGATAATCTACTAAAGCTCAATTCGGTTTGAATCAATTGAGCCTGAGCTATCATTCATGAATCATAAGTATATCCCCTTTTCGTGATACCTGAAATCGTCAACGATTCTTTGACTTTTGAGCCTTTGGGTGACTAGCTGCCCTCAGCAGGACCATTTGACTGATTTCAAATCACCCGCTCTCTTTGCGCCCGTAGCAGATTTTTTTTGTAATCAATCTGAGTCATTTGGATAGGCAAGATCACTGACCTACTATGGCGTTTGTGACTATCTGACCTGTTATCCCTTTTTCAGATTCAAACCAGCTTAAAGTGTTATAAATCCTTTCACCTACCAAACATCTCCAACCGATGCCTTTCTCCCAATTTCTTTTGGTAACTCTCCTTTGACGGTGGCAAATTGTCCCCTGGGCAAGTTGCTTCATAAGCTGACTTCGCTGCCTGCTTCACTTTCCTCCTCTTCATATTGATCCCCAACTCGATCGTAGATACATACCGACAATTCGACGAGAATTTCAAAGCACAAGCAAAGACTATGCCCGTACACGATTTAGGATGCGCGCCCGCTCTCGGCGAGCCCGAGCAAATCAAAGTTCACCACTACAATAGCCAGGGTCACATCGTGTTTAGCCCCGATGGACATGGACCTGGATACATGCAGGGTGTCTGTATACTCCGGAAATTGTCGTGAGCCCGATCTTACCCATCAAGACCACCAGTTTTCTTTCGCGAGCTGTAAGTGTTCACAATACTGACTCAATTAAACCGTTTGGTGTCCTATCTAGCGACAATCAAGCTGCCCCTCGAATCCAGGACGACGTCCCCTTACCTCTAGATTTCAGAACTAATGCCTTGGAAGGCCTGAACACCATGCTGAAAGAAGTCGATGCCCTGACAAGCGTGATCATTATGACTCCCGATGGTTCTGGCTACCTCGGTGGGGTACATATACCCCGAAATCAACTGTGAGATTTTGTCCTTTGTATTTTGCTTCGATGCACTTTTATGCTAGCTCCAAACTCATGCCTTAACCTCTTACCTTGCCCAGCACGATGGTTGACGGTAAACCGAACCTCTTGTTCGATCAAATGATTTACACCCAGAAACCCAACTTTCAAAATATGTCGATGCGGGAACTCGCGGAGTGGCGCCTCGGGGTCACGATTCAAGCTCCCAAGACTGCTGTTCAGTTCAACCGGGTGTTCAACTTGAAACGCGACGACGAGGGTTACAGTAATAGCACGTATCCGGTTCCTTTCGCGGGCGATATGTCCAATGACCTGGAGGAGAAGATTATTAGCTTAGAATACAACAACATCTTCATACAACATTGCCTTCGACTCGCAGAACAAGCCGCCGACCACGGTCACGTAGCCCTTGCTCCAACCTTATCGGAGTTGCACGGTATTCACTTGAGGGAACCCACTCTTTCACTGGCCTCTTCCCACGCTCACGCGAAAGTCGGATCTCATGACACAATCCAAAGTCCCTGCCTGAAATCCAAGGGTTTGAAAAGCATACGTAGGTAGCCTTCTAAATTTCTTCACCGCCACCTTACAGCTAATACTTCCCCTCTTATCTTGCATGATAGACTCGGCTGAGGGTTCACCCGTCAACACAAACCTAACCGGCTCTGCACAAACTCCGAAGGACTGTAGAAAACGTCAAGCTCATCCCGCTCCAGCCCGCGAATCAACAAAGCGTCAACGTACTGCTTCAGAACCAAAGCTACCAGGTGATTCCCAAAAGAGTCATCCATTCTTATAGCTTCTAATAGCGCTACGCCAGTTACATCAATCTAGCTTGTTGTTTCCATTGGTATTCTCATTATCAGGGTCTCTCTGATTTAGTATGGGCTCATGCTAGGTTCTATTTGTCAGATCTATCTCTTTTGTCTGGGCCTCAGCCAGGAATCATGTCTTTTTATTCTTGTAATTACATCAAAAGCTCTAGTATTGGATTCATTGAATATGTATTTGATATTTCGTGGGTTTTGACGAAGGCCAAAGGTGTTTCTCTTTATTCTTGTAATTACATCAAACTAGTATTGGATTCATTCAATCTGAATTTGAGTTCTCAAAGGTTTTGACAAAGGCCTTGGCTGGGGAGCAAGTAGAGAACTGTGATAGACTATTCAGCTTTTGAAAATACCTATCAATGTAACATGAAGATACAAGGATCATAGCTTGATTAACATGGCACAGAAAGCAAAACCAGGTGTGCCCATACATGTGCTACAGACCTCAATTCAGGGTAGATGTGTGAAAGAGGATTGTGGCACATTTTAAGTGATTCTTAGGCAGTTTTTTTGGTAGAGAAGAGGTGTTCTGGTGCACACTTACCCTGAAACATCATAGATTGCCTGAACAAGCTTGGCTGGAAGACTGACAAAAATCAATGGTGGCCAGTATCTGTCCACTTAATGAGGGGAATATAAGTCTGGCCAGTGTGTATATATCATGTGTGCTTTATGTGAACTCATATGTAGCACTCATCATACACAAACATCTATATTTTCACATAGGCTGGGGTGATACACGTTGGTGGAGCTGCAGGCCAACCCAAATTGCATGGGAGTGACATTTCCTTTGGCCCATAATTCTGGTGATGTACATCAGCCCTGTTGGGTGGATGAACTTATTTTTCAGCCTGCCTTGCCGCATGACAAGTTTTGTTGTTGGACCACGAAAAGATCTTGTGTATATTTCTTTGCACCTGTTGCACATGTTGTGTGGTGCAACGGGGGGCACACAACTATGCTTTCTCAATTGGTGTTGTGGTGCGCTCTGGGAGATATCAACAATGTTTGGCTGCTTGTTATGTGTTGAGGTGAAACATGGCTGCAAAACCCCTTTGGGAGAGTTTTGTGCAAAAACTATTTGATAAACTTCACAGGACACGCTATGGATATCACTTCAGGTTTTGCTAGTCCCACATGCACTGCCTGTCATATTTACCAACCCAGATGCAACACCGGGCCAGCAGCACTGCAGAGACATTGTGGTTTTTTGATCCATGCCACTTGGTGAATCCCTTAGATTTGTTGCGGCCTCTGCCACGTAATGAAATCCTTGAGATCAGTGTTTCTTTCAACCACAACAATATCTGTTGCAAAATGATGGGGTTTTATTTTTGTGGTGCTATTGCACATGCTCCGTTGCACAACAGGTGGGGGTACAGCCCAACCAGACCTGGCTATTTGATGTGGTGGTACTTGACACAGAACATTGCAAGTCTCGGGAATTTTTCACATGTTGAAGCACAGCACAACTGAAACTGTCCCTTGTGTGGAGTGTTGTGTCACTGGCACAGGGTTGCCAGATGCCTCAATTTCTATGTTGTTGAAATCTGAGAAGTATCTGAGACGTATGGGTTGTCTACCTTTAGGTGGGGTTTCTAGGAGGTGTTGCGTTGAGGCAAGGTAGGCCTAGACAAGTTCTCAAACAGTCTCCAACCATGCACACCTCCAATCTTGATAGCTCTGTCCTTGTGGTATGTTGTAATTTACCCAGTTTTTCCACTCACAGAAGTCTTTATTCCTATCAATTTCTCTACTCCTCCCTTTGTTTGATATTGTCTACTCGTAAATGTGGCCAAAAGTTGCTTCAGCCATTTACCCTTCATATCTCTATTCCAGAGATTTGGAAAATGATGTCCCCTGGGGTACCCATTTTCCCGCCAGGGAACCTATTTAATGCTGGCAGTGACTGAGACTTCGGCCAAGTCTGAATTGGATGAATACTTGGCCGGACGCTTCTCAATTAACAGGGATCAAACTCCTCTTGGTTGGTGGAAGGTTTGTCCTTTTTTTACATTTGTTTAATATAAAACATTAACATTAACTTTTTGATTTCCCATTCTTTTTTTACAGGAACACGCACACCACTTCCCCACTCTTGCCAAACTAGCTCGCGATTACCTGGCCATCTCGGCCACCTCATGCGCTTGCGAGCGTACATTTTCAGCGGCCGCCGATGTTTGTACGCCTTCTAGAGGAAGTATGCTCCCGAAGAGCATGGAGCGTCTTGTGGGATCACAGGCTTGGATAAAAGAAGGCATCGTACCTGAAGGAATCTTTGGGGATGCTGCCAAGGCCCTTAAATGTTATTTAGCGGGACTAAGCAAAAAAAAGAAAGAATCGAAAGGCTAGAATCTCCTTCTACAAATCTAACAAATCAATAACCAAATGAATACTATACAAGTTTTAAATATTAAAATCATTTCTATACATGTTTTTCTCTGAAATGAATGATATCTTTCTGCTTTGTGGCCTTTAGCGCTTTATGGCGCGCTTTATAGCGGCAATGTCGCTATATAGCGCGCTCCGCATTGTTGCCGCTATATAGCGCATCCGGAGCGGTTTAACCGTCCCACTCTGCCTACTGCCAAAAAAAATATAAAAATAGCGATCTAGGTGCGGAGCGGTTGAGAGTGCTTCCTCCTCTCCGCTCTCAAAAGGGGTCAAAATTGAGAGCGGAGCGGAGCGGTTCCTGCGTTGGTCTCATGGATCAAAAAAGAATGGGCTAAAGGTAACAAAGTGGGCACCTTATTTGCTGATGTGAAATCAGCTTTTCCCTCTGTTCACCACCCTAGGCTATTATCAATACTCAAGAAGAATGGTTTTCACAGTCAAACTGTCAACATCCTCCATAACTTTCTCACAAACCGTAGCACCACGCTTTCATTCAACGGTTTTGAATCAGAACCCTGTGGGTTGACTCATGGTTTACCGCAAGGTTCACCGCTGTCACCTCTCCTCTACCTCCTTTACAACAACGGATTGCTGAACACCACAAACGACAAAGACAACTCTACAGAATTAGGTTTTATAGACGATGTTGTGCTATTGACCACGGCCTCCGACCAACATCAACTTAGATCCCAAATGCAAACACTTGCATACCAACAAAACGTGTGGGCACAAAACCATGGTGCAATCTTTGACACAAAGAAAACATTCTGGGTAATCTTTAGTCCCAAAGAGATTGATGATCCTCCGACTATAAGTTTTGTAGATCACAAGAACATCTTACCCGAGAAGAAAGCAAAATGGTTAGGAATAACCATCGACAGCAAGCTATCATTCTCCCAACACCGAACGGACATTTTGGCAAAAGGGAAACAGCGAGCAGGATTCTTAGCCACCCTCTCAAAATTGGAATGGGGAATTTCACCTAAGCAGATGAACATCCTCATTACGGCAACAATCCACACCGTGCTAGACTATGGAGTAGCAGCTTGGCTACCGTTTGAACCCCCACAATACTTCACTAAACAGCTAGCAACTATCGACTATACGTGTGGACGCGCCGCGCTAGGCGCGCTGTCGACGACTCCAACAATATTTCTACGACACGACGCAAACCTCTTACCACCAAAAATCAGGCTCCAAAGTAAAATGATGAATTTTATGGCCACATCACTAACCAAACCTGCACATGCACCTATTTACAGTTTTGTCAAGCAAGCACAACATTCAAAACAGAAGCATCATCACAACCCTTTCCATTGGTTCTTCCAACACTTGATTAGGGAAGAGCTGGCCGAATTCATCCAACAAATCCCTTTGGACCCCACAGACATCCTAACTCGACCATCAAATTATTCAACAGTCATTCAGGAAAACGAAACAATGGCAAAAGCCAATGCCAACAAACTCACAGCAACACTTGATCATGTAGTGATATTCACCGATGGATCAAGAATACCAACGAGCACCACAGCAGCTGCTGCTTGGTGCAAAAACACCAAAAATTCGATAGCTGAACACTTAGGAACAGCACACACCCATGGAATCTATCAGGCAGAGTATCGAGGAGTTCAATTGGGACTCTCAATGGCACTTCACACCGCCTCGATACACACACGCCAAACTACAATCCTACTGGACAACCAGAGTGTCATCAAGGATTTGAGATCAAACAAGCTTCCTATAACCACTCTAGACGATAGGAAAGAAACTTACAAATTGTTGACTTATTTGCATAGGACATTTCCAGATATGTGTATCACGATCAGGTGGTGCCCAGGACACTCGGGTGTCAGCGGCAACAAGATCGTGGACGAAATAGCAAACAAGAAGGCCAAGTCTAAACTCCCCAGCACATTTCAAGCTAAACCGACAGCAGCAAGCTTCCTAACAGCCATAAAAGAATGGCCAACAACAAACTCTCAAATCACCGATCCGCAAGACTTGAAACGTTTGGGTCACAAACCAAACCAAAAATCTCACCTCAAACACCTTTCTGAAATCAAAAAACATTCCATTGGTTTTATCTCACAACTAAGATCAGGACACGTACCACTAAACCTCTACTTATCCAAATTTGAACAGATCCAAGATCCTAGCTGCGACTGCCAAGAAGGAGTCAAATCAGTAGAACACCACCTATGCACATGCAAAAACTACATCACCGAAAGAAAACAATTCAAAAAGAGTCTTAAAAAACTTGATCTACCACTCGACTCTTCAATTCTCAACAAACCAACAGCATACAAAGCAATTGCGCATTATTGTGACACCACCTGGCGGCTGAAAAGTCGCTGGATCTGGGCCTCCATCGCAGAGGAAGAACTACCAACAAACAGACACCCACCGAGTGATTAAGTATATCTCTCATTCTCCATCCTTTAGCGCCACACAATGTCCTATTTAAAATTGTACAGTAGATGAAACAGCCAACAGCAACCCTTTCCCCTGACACAGCCAGAGGGGTTTTACCGGTGCTGGAAAACATATGCAGTGTCTAATAGCCAAAAGGCTCTAA